TGATTCGTAGTCGAGAATATAAGTAGATGTCTATGGGCCACAGCAACCACTTACCATCACGTGTACTGTATGCTCGTTTGTCACCCCACCCTATCCTATAAAAAAACTGCTGTTTTTTATATTATGTTGGTATCACGCTAATGTTGCTGTCTATCTTCTGTTGCGTTTCCCTCTGTCACCTTTTACGATAACCACAAGATGAAATGGAGTAGTAGATATTCTTACATCGCCATTACACTGTGTGGTGCAGTGGCGGTGTAAGAATATCCACTATATTTAAAATACATTTAATGGATAAAAACAAATATTATTGGTATTTATATAAGTTGTAAAATTCCCCTTAAGGTGTACCACACCAATCGATCGACCATTGATCGATGGCATCAATCAAAAGTAAAGGAGACATCAATCGAGCTGCTTAAATATTCGAGAACCCGCCCCGCTCCACCGACCGCTATTTAGAATGTCGTCTAGATGACATAAGTTATATCTGGTTTAAATAAACGGTGGCAACTTTTTCTCAATTCTTCTGCTTTTGCGTCTCTTTAACAATAATACGAGCTAGAGAGTACTAGCTGACAATAACGCGTCCTGTTCTGAACGTATTTTAAAAATGCTGATGATGAGCCCACAAACATCGCTTAATAGTCGATCAACGTGGATCGATGATTGAACAACGTTTTATCGACCTGTATCTGGCAATCACCTAAAACACACCAATCGACGATCGATCGATCGGTGTGGTAACACACTTGCACTACAACTCGACTTGCTTATTTCATACAACAGATAAAATAAAATGTTTATTCTATTCGTTGCTGTGCAAGTTTTGATAAAAGAAAACTTTTCGCGAGTTTTACAAGCTATAACAGCTTTACCGGTGAAATTTTTGAAAAACAAATGAACGTTATTTTTATACCATTTGCGAGTTTTATTACTTTGTAGCAAAACAACTAGTGATTACGACATAAATGAGAAACAATTTAATATTCCATTCATCCATTACAACCTGTAAAAACTCACTACTGATTATCCCCTACATATTGGCTCGTGGAGAGGATTTCGGGTTATTCTGTATTTGTCTTATGACGTCTCATCCTACGATATGTTTATCGTTACTCATCTGACTTGTATTCTTTATTCAACCTACAGCAATTATTTGATTTCTTATTCTTAATTCATCGCATGAGTATTCCTAACTCAACCGATTGCGATACTTTATAAAATACCAAGTTTTGAGTGTACATCTGCTTAAAAACATTAAAATTAAATAAATTTGTAAATTATATATTCCAAAATGATATTAAAGTCATATATGGGACATAACCCATAATCTAATATATAAAAAATATTTTTTGTTTGTACGTATTTCATGCGCTGCCATACCGGTAATTGGATTGCATTCAAACTTTTTCAACATTTTCACTTCCGCGAAGGTTATATATTATATATAGGCATATTTGGACCCGGTAGTTGGCGCTTTTATAGAATCCAGATATCACCCGTGCGAAGCTGATCGCTAATACATATTTAAAGTACACCAATAAATAAAACTATTGAAAAAGAATAAAACGCTGAATAAACTGGTGACCTCCTAACACTGGAGTCTGGAAGTTATTTTTAGTGCTTTACCACCTGTAACAATTAAATTATATAAAATAACCAACTGCCAATATTGTATTCACCTAAGGTGTGAATGCCTCTACATTATAACATGAACGTTGACACAAGAGAAAAACTATCATTATACATAAATACTATCCTTAAATATACAATAACATAGTAGGAGTAGTCTATGGTTAAATTAAAATCATTTTTAATTAGAGCAGTTTCAAGATCTAGTCGCCGGCATGTATCACACGAATTTAAAAATTTGATTTAGGTAATAGTTTTCTTATTAGCAATTTTCTTATGAGCATTCACTATCCAATGTCGTCCCTTGAGTGCCATAAGATGCAATAGAGAGAAATGGGGAAATGAAATAGATGTGTAGCTGCATATTCCTGATAACAGCCCAAAATAATAAAATCTGCTGTTGCCACCTGAGAAACGTGGCAACTACTGAAAACCCATTGAAGCAATTTATGAGAGAAGGTCACCCCCGGAATCTGCATCTGTGAATTTCAATTTTAGTAATCAGTAATATATGGTGGGTAGATGGATGAATTCCACCACCGTACTGGAGCAGCTAAATATATTATGTATAATAATTATGTATTTTATATAATAGAATCTCACAATATGGAATCATATAGTATTCTATACCATTTCATTACGTTTTGCAGAAGACAGGCATATATTATAAGTGTCTTGCTCTAGTAGTTCAATATCGTTTTTACACTACATACTTAGTATGCAGTTCAGAATTCAGTATCTAGTTTCTCCTTTCCTCGTATAAAATTAAGTTGTAAAATATAATATTGCGGCAATATTAATGGTAGGCGCTTGATTTTTCGAGATTTTAAGTGGTTAAAATTTTATAATATAGAAAGAAGGGTAAAAAGTTTCAACTAGCTTGACTTGAATTAAAGGTTTAACCTTCTTTAACACAGTTGCACGCAGACCCGGTTAAGTGACGATTTCAACCTACTGATGGTGGGAAATAGAACCAAATAATATCCAGAATCCAAGTGTGTGTTGGTGGCGAGGGAAACCATCACCCCATCTTAACTATTCTTCTGACAGATAGAGGTATAATCATCTATATTTTATGTATCAGATATAAAATCCTCAGACCGGGAACGAAAAATATCGATTAATAAACGAGACGTCAATCGATTGGAAAGATCGCAAATATGCTCCTCAAGCGTTATTTTTACCATTGAAACAAATCCTCTCGTGCTCTTGCTTTGAAAGCAAACCATATCCAGCAAGCCTTATGGGAATAATATTGGAGAGATATACCGTATCTAAATAATTTATCACTCCATTTATCTCATCAAAATTTTCTTGATAGTTTAGACAAGGTCTAAATGAATGATTTAGAGTTGGATTCTCACAGAATACCAGCATTTAATAGTAGTTTTAATTTATTGCTGCTATGTATTGTATGGTGAGTGTAGAGATCCGAAGACCGTTTTTATTGGAAACGAAGCATTGCACCTACTTATGTTTGTACATAAAGAAAAAGAGTATTTTATTATAAAACGGTAGACATTCTGTAAATATTAAAAACGAACACAATCTATTCACACTAAGTACTCGACTCCACAGAGTCATTAATTTATTAATGGGCAATAAAATGCTTTTAAAGCAAAGTCCCAGAGAATATACAAGTTCTGTCTAACGGCAAGTTTTATTTTTATACATTACTACGACTGAACAAAAAAATGTTATAATATTACAAACACAGTTAAGAGTTAGTAATGAGAAAGAAGCGATCGCTTACAAGCTTACTCGCTGAAACCTTTTTTAAAGTGTTACTTTAAAAAAGGTTTCAGCAAGTTTCTTGGTGGTTCTTCCCAGGACAGAATGTTTCTTCCTATCCATTGCTAAAAGTAAAAAAAATTGGTTGGACTATTTTCAAATGCAAAGCACTCCAAATTTCACCAAATTATGTTGCGAAATCTCGAAGTTTGTTAAAAAAACTTTTTTTTTTTCAAATTCTTTCTTTGATATCTCACGAACGTTTTCAAACGGCATTCGACGTCATTTTTTAGGTTAAGAGCTGATTAGTTCTTGAAATTGATCGGTAAAGTCGTTTAAAAGTTATTCCTAAAACACAGTTTTTCAAAATGTTTATTTTTGAGATTCCTCAAAATCTACTCGTCTGAATCAGTTCATATTATCACCAAATCTATTCCACATTGAGATCTTTAAAACGCCGCAAACTGCATCTCAATTGATCAAGACGTTCAAAAGTTACAAAAGGTTTACATACTTACACACACACACACACATTCATGCATACATCCGTACGGATGTCCACGTGAAATTAGAATAGCTTTCTGGAATCTCAAAACGTCGAGATATGATGAAAACTCGATTTTCGAAAATCGGGGTGAAATCAATAACTTCTTTATTTTTGAAAATTTTCTATTTTCTTAGCGGGAAGTTGAAAATATAATACAATAGCATAATATTACTATACCATCATTGCCATACATAGATTTCTTTCAATACAAGGTACATACAGGGAAAGGGAAAAAATAACGTTTTAAAATTACTTGCATCTTTATTTTATTCTACTGCAAAATTCTTAACAATTTAATTTAAAATAACTTATAACTTATAATACACTACCTAAGTAATATCACATATCATCAGCGACATTTCACATATCGATAACATCATAAAACATTTTCTGAAAATGTTTTGTTTCATAATTTTTGGCAAGTCACAATTTTAAACTTTGATCACAGACAGTAATCTTACAAAATACTTTTACAAAAATCTACAATGCTAGGACTGTACTCACTGAATTATGTATTGATTATCTTACGATAATAAAATAAATAACAAATACTATAAGTACTGTGCGATAACTAATTTATAGCGAAATTATAAAAACATTTTATCATGTACTACTTAAAATGTATACTAAGGGCGAGGCAACACGATGTGTAAAAGAGCGTTTGAGTGGTGACGTTTCGTCACTCTAAGTTCGAAAATTCTTGGCGTTGTTACATGTTTAACGCAAAGAGCATCTGGGCGTGCGATGCAACGATGCGTTTAAGATACATTTCAAATGATCGCCATACAAGACGTACTAAAAGAGCGTGGGTATTATGCTCGCCGGACGTCCCACCTCGCTGCACGCTTTTCATATACTTTCTACACCTAATCTATCACCGCCACATTGAGTGAGTGTGACACCCATACGGCGAAATAATTGCAGTTTAATAAGTAAAAATAAGCGGTACAGCACAAACCCCGCAACGCATCGTGTGACTTCGCTCTGAGCGTTGTAAGTACAAAATATTATAAAATAATTAGTTTTATAGATTTCATTTCGTTTTACGAAATACAGTTTAAACAAATATTACAACAAATATAAATAATTAAGTTCCGGTAACTAATTTCAAAATCCAAATACTGCTTATTAATACAAATCCATTTAAGGATGATAAACTGCTCGCTGATGACGTACTATTGTTATTCACCATAACTACAGGCCACCAATGTGTAATAGATATGTATTGATTATCTTTAGGTTTTTCCGTAGTAGCATGCTCTAACATGTTATCTGGCATATAACTACCACATGTAGGAAATTCAGGTGGCACTGGAACCATATCTTTATGTTCACCAACCTTAAATACTAAAGCCATACCTACTTCGACATGGAACTCTATATGACAGTGGAAGAGCCAATATCCAGGATTATCAGCTTTAAACCTTATAACTGTGTAACCGCCGTCAGGTACCGTTACTGTATCTTTTAATGGAGCATTTTTAAGATTCCTTTTCAATAATCCTGCTTCGTCAAAAGCTTTTATTTCTTCAATTGTAGTACGATTGGATAGACGCCTCAATCCAACAACTCTAAAATTGTGACCGTGTAAATGGAAAGGATGGTTTGCATCAAATGTTACTCCTTCGTCCACTATAATAACTTCAACTACAGCATTTTTTCTGACTGATAAAACGTGTGGACATTCACAGTAGCTGGCTTTGCAGGTTTCATCGATACTTGAAGCATTACAAAAGTTTTTTGGCGAAGGTCTGTCGATAAGAAGTGGGCGGGAAGGCATCTTCATACTGATATGATTCAATTGTGGGGTGTACAGACGATTATCTAAGTTTGGTACTGTAAACAAAATTTAAGAAAAACATGTTATTGTGTTGGGGTTTGAAAAGTATAAGTCAGTACAATCGCGGGCATGAAATATTTCATGCTATTCCTCAAAAATTTCATATATATATATATATATATATATATATATATATATATATGACTGCCTCGTTGGTCTCGTGATTGTAGTACGACTGCTGATCATGAGGTTCGAATCCCGGGTCGGATCAAAAAAATTAATTATTGAGTTTTTTAGTTTTTCCGTCAAGAAATTCTCTTCTATAGATTGCCCGGGGTCAGGAATTTGGCGGTGTCTCACCCCCGTGCCTCGGAAAACACGTTAAGCCGTTGGTCCTGCGCCTGACCTCTCTCCGGTCTATGACAGTGAGGGAATAGAGAGTGCACCTGTGCTTGCGAGTACACTTGGGCACTATAATCCTGTCCTGCGTCGATAGCTAGCCTCCGCTGAGGCAGGCCGCCGTGACCGAAATTCGGTCTGGAGGTTTGTTTTATATATATATATATATATATATTACACCACCACTACACGGTGTACACAATTAACATAGGAAATAAAAGTTCTTGCGCAGCGTCGTTTGTTATTGTGTGGTTATTTTTTGTTATATATATATATATATATATATATATACATATATATATATATATATATAACATATATATATATATATATATATATATATATATATATATATATATATATATATAACAAAAAATAACCACACAATAACAAACGACGCTGCGCAAGAACTTTTATTTCCTATGTTAATTGTGTACACCGTGTAGTGGTGGTGTAAAGATATACACTACTCCATATCATCCCGTGGGTGTCGTAGAATGCGACAGAGAGGAAGAAACCATCGACAGAAGGAGATGGGCAGCAGCGCCTTCCTAACAACGAGTAGAAATAAAACACTGCGATTGATAACTCGCTTGCCAAGCGTGACAAAGAAATATTCCCCTATGAGCCTATCTATGGAAGAAGGCTATGTTCGGCAGTGACTTTAATAGGTTGTAACTTTAGTTGTCGTAAGTGCGTCCGAAAACCTAGGCCTCGGAAAGCACGTAAAGGCGTAATTCTTGCGCCTAATCACTCTCCGATCATGTCAGATTGTCATCTCTTCCGACTACAAGCTATGTTTGTTTTTCATCGGCACGATTAAATATTACAGCCCTTCGCAAATCCACTTGTCTGTATGTACATAGGCCTTCTACAAAGAATGCCACAAATCACAGTCATGAGTCACCTGCACCCATCGACTTCCTGAATTTTTTACCAGGTCGTTATTCCGTCTAGTGAGGAACCGCCCTACGCATCGCTTATCGGTACGAAGTCTTTCTTCTTCGTTGGTTATCGATTCTTTGAGCCAAATGGCCAGCCCATTGCCACTTCAGCTTACTCATCGGCTGAGCTATATCGGTTACCCTAATTTTACTGCGGATATCTTTCTTTCTAAGAGAATCCTCGAGCATAGCCCTCTCCATAGCTCGCTGAGCAACCTTGAGCTTCTTCACACGGCCAGCAGTAAAGAACTACGTCTAAGATCCATATTATGTTATCATTTGCAACACACACTGGTTGTATAATATTATTTGTTTTAAATGACAAAATAACTTTACGTTGTCAGTAAACCATTAATCTTTTCTGTAATGCAATCTTATTCGAGCTTAAGGTTTCCTAGCTAAAACATACCTTGGTAATATCCATAATAAGGTGATCTGTGAAAATGGGAATTATTTTTAGGGTAAAAGTCGTAAGCTACGTAGAATTGATAATCTGCGACTTCCTTTAAACTATCATCGTACCCTTCAAGGGACCTCATTTCAGCTACACTTATTGTTTCATCTTCTTCTTCACCTTTATTTAGTGCATTCAGTTGCTGAAATAAATATAACATTTTAAGAGGTCAGTTAACGTTTACTTTTATAGTTGTAACTTATTACAGAAATAACATCCCAAATTCTAACGAAGAAACATACCAATCCTTCATTATGCAACTCTTCCCAGGTAGGATCCCCTGAAGGTTCCAAATCCATCGCACCTTCATAATGTAGAACAGCCACTTGTTTTGCTTTAGTAAACCTAAGCGTGAAAATAAAAATAAAAACTTGTTATTATCACTAGATTAGAGTATTTTTACTCTGCAATTAGTAAATAGCTATCTTGCTCGCAGTAAAATTTAGCTAAAATTAATGTTATATGCATATTAAAGTAATATTACTGACTGTAACTAACCTTTCATCACAATCCATAAGTCCGCGGAATCGAATCCAATAGTTACTAATTTCCTTATTTGCCTCGAGAATAAAATCATAACGCTCACCAGCGTAAGTCACCAGGGATGTTGCTATAATCAATTTTAAGAGGTTTTAGAAATGTTAAAATAACTTAAATTTAAAACACGTCAATTTTATATAATAAGGGTGACAAACAAGCAAGCACTCCACCTGAATACAAGTTGATGTTGGGGTCTATAGGTATCTACATTTATCCTCCATTAAGAATCAATAAGCAGATGCGTTTTCACCCCTGAGACCTAAGATGGAATATCTCGTATCCAGTAACATGGGTCTTCAGTTCTCTCAGTATTCAATCAGGTCGAGCCTCCCCACTTGTGCTACAACCAATGCTATGTAGCTACAGCATGGCTCTACCACGTCCTCAAGACTATTTAGATAAAAAATTACATAGCAATCACATCATAATTTTATTATGAATATGAATTAAAATAAGGCCCGCTATACATCGCCATGGATCGCTGATATTTTTAAAACGTAATCTTATTATGCATAAAGTCAGTTAAGTTTTAAAAAATTACCTGTTATCGGTTCCAGGTCATAACCGTCGGAGGCAATGACAGTAATATTATGGCCATCTACTGACATCTCAATGGGACAGTTAAGAAACTCAGCATTGATCACTCGGAAGCGATATTTGAAACCCTTCAAAGAAAAGTAACAGCTTTTTACAATTTTATAAGATAAAATTATAATTCATAAAAATTTTCTAAAAATAATATCAAGGGATCAAAGAAGTTTTGTGGTCTTTGATAAGAATCAGAAGATTTTTATTGAAAAAGTTCGTTTGAAATTTGATTTTCTGTAAATACGACATTACCTTTATAAAACGAATAATAAATTATCATTTCTTATTTTTAAGCTTACTTTAAAAAATATCATAAGTATATCATTTCATAGTAAAAAGGAAACAAATACTGAAATTTTAAGTATCGATTTCATTAGCAAGGTATATATGAATACATACAGTACAGGTAGTATATTATATGAATACGTGTTTGCACGCACTTTACATAGATTTTGGCAATGAAAGTCAGTACAAACACAATGATTTTATTTACGATACTATTTTACTTTACAAGCAGAAGCAAGTTACCACACAAAAAAATTAACAGTATAGGAAGTAAATTAGCGAAACTACAGTACAGAGTAGCCAATTTTAAAATGCACACAAGCGACACACACTTTTTTTTTAAATTATACAATGGATAAACATGTACACAATTAAAAATTCACCTGCTCAACATCAAATCTCGCGGCTTTCATGTAGAGTGGTTCGGTAGTTTCATTAAAAATTCTAAATCGGCCTACACCGTTAATCAACAAAGTGGGAGGCTTGTTATCGCCGATAGAATGGTGGTGGTCTGTGAACATTGAAACTGACAATTCGTGGATCCAATCCGTTACTATCATCACGTGTTCTGATCTGAAACAAAGCGATATAAAATACAAACTACCGTCAACTTTATTTTCTATTGTTTATTCAATACTAGTATTTTTATCAATGTGTGTCTTCGACATTAAAGTAGGTATACTTAGATCTCGTAAGAATAGAAGGGGAGTTGAATGAGCAAGCGGAGAGTTCGAGTATTTGGGATGTATATTTAGCTGGGACGGTAGATATGATAAGGATACAGAACGACGAGTGAATGCGGGAAATAGAGTGAATGGGGCTCTACACTCTATTATGAAGCGTCGGAATGTGTCACAAAAGGCACGTATGGTAATTCATATGTCTGTGTTAATCCCTACTTTAATGTTTGGTAGTGAAAGTTGGGTGTAGCAGAAGAAACATGAAAGTAAAATAAATGCCGTAGAAATGCGGTCTTTAAGGAGTATGCTAGGGCTGAATCTGAATGACAGGGTGAAAAATTGTGTGATAAGATACAAATGTGGTGTGCAAAATGATGTTGTGACCAGGAGTAAGAAAGGAATTCTTCGGTGGTTTGGTCACGTAAGAAGAATAAATGAGTAAAGAGTGACAAAGCAAATTTATATCGCAGATGTGAACAGCAGAGTCGGGAAGGGCCGCCCTAAACAACGGTTCATCGACCAAATTGGCGATATATTGAAAATGAGCCACATTAAGAGTACCCTTAATCGACGAGTGTGTATGTGTAGATATATGGATGTAAAGGAGGCGAGAGATGTGTGTCTTGGTGACAGGCGGGAGTGTTTGCGTCTTATATTTCGTCTTACACAAATAAAGAAAGAAAGACGTATGTTTTTTTAGCTTTTAATTTTGTTACGTACTGAGGTAAAAACAAATATGATAGATAATTATAAATTACGAAAGAGTCTGTGTTCAAATTTGTCTGAAAAGAACATTTAGACCGATAAAAAAAGAAAGACGAAGCGCAGCGTACATTTTAAGTGACACCCAACCACGCACATATTTTTTTTTTCTTTAAATATTGCTGGACGCACATTTATGCACATAAAACCATATTAATGGTTGGCAAAGATTTTAGATTCACACTCGTACGTGTACGTGAGTGCGTATTCTAATAGTAATTGAGCATGGTTTTTGCTTGGTTTTCGCATCAATTGAAATGTTCGTACCACTCCGGTTTTCTTTCTTCATCGAAAGAGATCTATGGATTTAATAATATAATTATAAGTTTTATTTATAAAATGTTATTTTTACAAAACTCAACACAGATTCTGTAATACTTATTTATTTATATATTTAATTGGTTACGTATACAAATACTCTGATAGGAAAATAGTCAAAAGACCACATGTATAAAGGCCCTGCAGGTTTTATTGAAATTTTCAGCAGGCCTACTGAAGGATCATTGAAAGAAATGTCTATACATAAAAATTAATTGCTTTTCATTAGTCTCGCTAAAGCTCGAAAGTGGTTCGAATGATTTAGATCAAATTTTTGTGTACGTTTGAGTGGGTACGCCTGACCTGAATGGCTTAGATTCATAATTGCACCCCATAGGTGGCATTGTTGTCGAGATCTAGGAAACAACCGTGCGAAACCACGGCGGTTCTCTTTAGTAGGACGTTAATGGACGCTACACAATGTCAGTTCAACTGATCATTCCAACTGATCAGTTCAAACTAAAACTTTCGATATATTCGATTTTCGATATATCGATAAATAAACTGAAGTATATATAAAACTCCAATAATGATATATTTATAATTATCGATATATCTAAAATCCACTATTTTAAAAAATATCAAAAGTTTTAGTTTGAACTGATCAGTTGAACTGACCGCGTATGGCGACCATAATTCAGCCAAGCAACTAGATGTCTTGTGAGCAGTGCGGGTGCAACTAGTTTTATTGTACGCACAGGACCGCGTGACTACTCCTCTCCAATCCGCGGGTGGCCCGTATCGCTCTATGCTATATGCAGTTAAATATAAGTATTGGTCTTATTAATAGATTTTCTAAAATTCATATAAATTTACTCAAAACACAATAAAAAAATTAAATTAAATTCGTGGCACCTGTCGTGGTCATAAAGCCGGCCATGAGGATCCTGCGACTTTGGTTTTCTGATAATTAATGCACCAGCAGCGCCATCTGCCCTTTGCATGCCCGAATGTGAATGCCAGAAATGAGTTCCGGCGTGGGACGCGTTAAATTGATACCTGATGAATTAACAAAATATTGATTCAGTGATAAAGCAATAAATCAATAAGCAACTAAAATAATATCGACTACCTTGAGTAAGAATGTGATCGTCAAATTTATTAATATTAATTATAAAGAAGCGTATACAATTTAATATCTATTTTTAATAATAATAAAAATATGATTTTATTAATTTAACATAGAATATGTGCAAAAAATATTACGTATTGTCAAAAGAACATCAGTGAAAGTTATTGCTAAATTGATGTAGAGTAAAGAAATTTAATAAACATTTAATTGTACGTAAAATAACTTATGTTTTTGTTAAGAAAATGAATTTTAGCAATTTTATTACCTGAATGTTGATTCAGGTAAAATAGGACACTGCGTAACGTAAGGAGTTCCATCCATATAAGGACTGCCTCTTTGGTGTTGACCGTGCCAATGTACTGTAGTACCTTCCGTCATTAAGTCATTCTCTACATCTACCACGATTCTATCATGATGACATACCTGAAAGAATATTAATATTAGTTAACATTATCATATCAATATCTTTATTATTTTATTACAAATAAACAAATTGTTTTCATTTACCTCAATAGCAGGTCCTGGCATTTTTCTGTTAACAACGTTCAACGGCCTACTAATTCCATCTGCAGGAATACAATCAATTCTTGAGCAGTCGCTTGCATTGTATGGACAATCATAACAAGCTTTACTCATAGTTTGATACCATTCCAGATTGAAATGATAATGGCAAATCATAGGTTCTTCCCCTTCGATACATTCGCGGTGACAAGGATGATCACCGCTAATTAGTTCTCCAGTCACTTCATCATATCTCACATGAGCCCTTAAATTTGATTTTTTATACTGCCTTTTAGCTGAAGCTCTTTTTCCAGCATTTTCTTCTTTTATTTTGATTATATTTTTATTTGTTATCTCTGATATATTTTCAGGTTTTCTATGAAGTATTAGATCGTTGATCGTTTGGTTATAAAGAGATGGTATTAAAACTCGTGAAGCGCTTTCAAGTACTCTTAAAGGTTCGCTTCTATTTAGAACTTTTATGTTTGATGTATTATTTGATTTTTCCTCCACTTCAATTGTAGTGCCGGAAGAAGAAATATCTGCAAATTGTTGATCTTCCGAATTTTTGTTAAATGGTGCTACTGTTTCTGTGCTGTATTTTGTCGTAGTTTCAAGAACTGTCTCCATTCCACCTTTTGATAATTCTTTAGCTTCTGTAACAATAACGGGTGAATTGTAATAAATACTAAAAATATGATCCATTATACTACAACACACTGAAATTGTTATTCAAAGCATTAACCAATAGGTTCTGTCGTTTTTACGTAAAACTCATTTGAACATACAAACAAACTAGCTAAAATTATAAAACATATTATGGATAAATATTAATATTTATAACTCTCGAACAGTTTTATAAATAGTAAATAATTAAAAATTAGTTAATTTTTGTAAGTTTATATAATGTAACGTTTATATTGGATACAACTGAAAACTTTAAATCAATAATAACTTAGATGTTTGTTACTTAAACAGATAGCGATTCTATTAATCTAAGTGAAAACGTAAGAAAAAGAAATCTAAAATGGCCCCATGCAGTATCGATACAGAAAGCGGGCATATTCCCATTGCATCGTTTAGGCTCTACGTGGGATCCAGAAATATAAAAAAAACAAACGCGCAGTCATACTAGCAATTAATAGCAGTCTCGAAATTTTAAAATTCTGGTAGTGTTGATTGAAACTACTTTTACGGATTTTATCGCGTTTAATTTATTTGATTTTTAATTCCCGACGTTTCGTTAAGATGTTCTAAAAAGCATTTGAGCATTTTCAGAAAATCTTAAATCCATAAACACCAAAATTAAATATACTATTGAGTTAGAGGCAAGTAATTCCATAGCTTTCCTAGATGTGTAAATCATCCGAAATCTTAACAAGATGGGTCACACTATGTCCTTAAATTAAAGAATAGAATAGAGACCCATAAAACCGATATTTAAACGGTGAATCATCCTTTACAGTTAGCTACCGTGGGAAAATCTTTGTTACAGATAGCACGAGGGATCTGTAACAGCAAACACCTGGCCACCGAACTTCAGCACGTAAAGCTTGCATATAACTTCTCATAATAGATTGTCAGAGACACTTGATAGACTATTCATCTGTATCTATTTCATAATCATTTTATGATGATGAAGACGTAGAAGAGTCCGTCACGTTGATTATAACCTAAAATGTCGGTAGTCTTTTTTTATATCCCTTTTGGATAGATAAACGTCACTAGACCACGTTTCTTTTACATATTTATAGATGTTTACAATTATTATTTTTTGGTTTTCGAAATATGCGACACTTTCCGCTTCTTTTGTGGTGACGTAAAATCTTTATGAGATTTTCATGTCGATGGACCCGATTTCATACTAGTGATAATATACAAAACGTCACAAAACAATAACAAAAACTTTAATACAAAACATAATAAAACGACTAACAAAACAAAGTTAATAAAAATTAAAACAACTACTATAACCAAAATTTTTAAATCTCAAACTATCTACACGCAAGCGCATCCCAAAGCAGAATGAGGAACGAGTTCTGCTCCATCCGCTTTCTTAAATACGTATGACGTGAGGCCTATCGCAAATCGCGTCGAAACAGGTTTATTATCTCTGAATGACCGCTTCCTTCACCCTACCCCATACCATGAGACACGGCTTAGCGCTTAATGATACGTAATCTATAAATAAATGTATCGAAGCAATAACTGTCGTTTTGTTTCGATGTTAACATAATACTTGAGGTCAATGTACTTTTTCCGCCTGCCCTAGAAATGTACTATAGTAATCGAAAACAGTCACTATCGAAATCTGCCCTGAATGGGCAGATTTCGAATTGTCATCTGTCCTTCTCTTAAGTATCTTCATAACATGTGAAAGCTGATGAAGGAAAATGTCAGATGCTGAAATATTTTTAATTTTCTTAAACTGTATGTTTCCCTTTATACAATTTAAATATTATGTAAAGCGTCTACACGATACACGAAAAATTCCTAGTGTTCTCCTAAGGAAAAACAACATCTGAAAATAACTACCATGAAGACACTAGAAAATAAATTTTAGTGAATAGTTCTAAAGGACAATATAATGTTTTTTTTTTATAGGATAGAGTAACAAACTAGCACACAGTCCACCTGATGGTAAGTGATTCTTCTCAGATCTCTAATCATCTGTCCTCGATTACAAATTAAAATGCAGATGCGTTGTCACCCGTGAGGGCTAAGATGGAATGCCCCGTTTCCAGTAAAAAGGGTCTCCCGTTGTTTACAATCACCATACGAAACACAGCAGCATTAAACTACTATTTTACACTGGTATCCTGTGGAAGCGTGGTCCTTCCCCGGTCGAGCCGACCCATTCGTGCTACAACTATACTACTAACATAACTGCAGCGTGGCTCTACCACGTATACATTTTATTTTTATCGTTTACTTTCAATATACTTGATATTGTATGTACATGTGTATTGATCAGAAACGCAATCGCAAGGCTGTCGCAAAGCAATTGTAGCTTCAACTATCAAGGCGTTCTGAGTTGCTCAACTTAATCGCGCCATTTGTCTTATACCTTTAATATACCGCTTACTATACCTTGATACTTTTGATTCATTTGAATAATTCACTTATTATAAAACCTTAATTCTAGGAATTTCAAAACAAATATTTAAATAAATATGTACTCTTTCTGAACTCTTTTAAAATGTAGGTAACGTTCTATTATCATATTAAAATTTTTGTTTATCACTTTTGATGTTTATAATATAATAACTTAAAAATCTTGCTTTTTCTCCAACAGTCTGTCGTAAGCGTACGGGAGGGGCCTAAGTATGGCAAGTACTAAAAATACGTTAATTTTTGTTGTATTGTTTAATTTACATTTTATTAGACATTACAAATACTACCTCATAGCTTTTAATCGATCAACAACAACAACGAATTAATATGGTTTGTTTTGTATACACCGTTATTTTCCAAAAGTAGCCAAATTTTAAACTTAAGTTCTAACATATAAAATAATGTTATACCATTATTACAGTTTTTTTAAAATACTGGTAAATAAGGCTACTTTTATTTGAAATATCCCGTATTAAGGAGGAACTTTACATTGGTAGGTTTTTGTTTGTTTATCAAATCATATAATATAACGTAGTCGAAAAATAATAAAGAAATGCAAAGAAACATTTCTTTAATATTAAATATGAAAAATTGTCACCACATTTAGGTCAAAACAAAGCATCAAGATGCTTTAGTCTCGTATGCATTTCACAATACATGTAGGATCCGATTCAGCTCAAATCCGCAAGCAGAGATAGAGTCTGTGGAATGGGACATTATTGTGTAGATAAGGCGCTTTTATCTTGGATTCCTTTTACGAATGTTGAGCAGATTAACGTAGACTCAAAAAGGACACACAATGATTCATAAATAACGGGCTTCTATGGGTAATATTTCGGCCTTAAAAAGTAATTACTTAACATCTAAGCTGGAGAATATAGGATATAAAAATAATATAAATATGGCATTGGGTTTTTTTTTATTAAGAATAAACTCGTTTTGTCAAAAAACCACCCGAATAATTTGTACACTTCTATTGATGGAATTTCATCAACTTTGAAGATTTTGAATCATAAAACCGAAAAGCGTTTTCAAAAAAACCATTACTTAAAATAATGAAGGAATTTTTCGATTAATCAAGTCCCATTCGTTCCGTACGAGTGTGGCCGAGTATAGTAATGTCATGAATGGGAAATTTTTAAGCGATTGCGTAATCGTAATTTATCAGTGTTAACTTTGTGAAATGCATCCCCGGCCCATTATATGATCAATAAACAGAGATTTACCGAGGTCGTTAATAAATATAGCAAAATTAATTTGATAATCGAATTTCACTATACATACCGGAATTATAAACCAGTGCATTTTACGAAAAGCAAGTAAACCTGCGTCCTGTGGCCATGTGCCCTTATTACAGAAAGTAATTACATAAAAACTCCGAAAGAATGTGTAAAATAAACTCGTTAAAACGTTTTTGCATAAAACACATTTGTTTATTGCGACCCAATTTCTTCTTAATCGAAGTATATAACATGATAAAAATAAGAAGTAATAACATTTCGCTTTATACAACGCTTAAAAAGCGCTCCATAAATAAGAATTTAACGAAATATTAATCAAAGAACTTTACATAAAACTTATTATACGCCTAAGATTTAAAAGTTATTATATGCCTGATATTTAATATGTAAGGCTAGCGTGGTATGGGCATATTATGCGAATAAAAGTAAAACACGTAATAAGAAGGTGGAATAAGAAGGTGGTTTTTTTTACAAACAATTTCTATGAGCAGTCGCAAAGAGATGCAACATGTAAAGATATGTTGCATCTCTTTGCGATTCTACCCTATTCTATGTTTTCTACCCTAATATATAATTTGTCAATCCTACTTAAGTAATAAAATATTCTATAACCCTTTATTGAATTTGCAATCGAACATTTTTTCATAAAAAAATACCATGTGAATCATATTAAACCCTTGGCCTAAAATATAATAGTATCAGGAAATCGATACTTACTTGCTACAGAAAGAACGAGGACGGCGAAGCAAGCGATGTAATATATACTTCTGTGATTCATTGTTGAAAATCTGGAACAAACATATAGAGTATTATGTAAATTCATATCAAAATCATTACTAATAAGTTTCTAGAAAATTACGATTTTCTTTATAAAGCTTTCTCTTATATTAACTTAGCTAATTTTGTACATTTAATTATCTGTGCAACCTATGTTTACTTGCATAATTATTTTAAAATAATACTACCAGTACTATTAACACTACTAATATTCCTGTAACTCCTCAAATTAGGTTTGAAATGCTTGTGTTTGTGGTGGTTCACGATAGTAGTGGAATTGTGCATTTGATTATGGGTTACTATCGCGCAAAATGCAAACGTTGTGAATATATAAAATAATACTTTAGTATTATATTCATTTAACGTTGTTATATTCGAAAAATTGTTGTCATTAAGTATATGATATCATTTTATTAATCGATATTCAAAATAAGACTTAAGTTATCGATACATTAACACGCGATAGATCCACACAGTAGCGGATTATAACTGCAACACGATTGGATCGGCTCGATTTGGCAAGGACCACGCTATTTTACGTTAGTAGTCTTAGCAAAACTACTAACGTAAAATTGCAGCATAATGCTGCTGTCATTCGTAAAATAAATAAGGAGAACAGGGAGACATTCCATCTAAGTCCTCAGGGGTGATAACGCATCTGCATTTTGATTACTAGTCGAGGTTTGAGCCACAGTATCTACCTATCATCAGGTGGACGTGTACTGCTTTTAGTAAAATCACCGGTATTTTCTGACTGGGACCTGGGACCAAATGATCAACATTTGGTCCCAGGTTCAAAACTCGGGTCAGGTTAATCTCAAATACTGTATTTTTCCCGTCAAACGATTAGAGTGATGGAATAGTTAGTATCTGCATTGAACGATTTTCTGCATTGAAAACATTATTTATTTATACTAAAAAATACTCATCAGCGCGTTTAGATAGCGGTGTAACTATTTAACCCTTACATTGATATCAAGATATCCAGAATGACAATATATATTATATAAAACAGGACATCATTATTGTGAACTCTTAAACGTATTCATACATTTATTATCATGATCGTCATTACAGCCCTTCAGTACCCCTCAGCTGACATAGAACTGCCCCTGTATCGACTTCCTGCATGTTTTACCAGATCGTAACTCTAACTAGTGAATGGATACCTTACATTTTGCTTAGCGGTAGGAGGCTGACACTCAAGAACCTTTCTTCCCTAGCGGTAGTCGGTTCTTCGAACTATAATGCCGGCCCATTGCCCGTTCAGCCTACTAATCCATTGCGTATATCGGTTACTCTGGTTCTAAGATCTAACACTTAATACTAAAACATTCATTTACTTTTTATACATGTGTATTTAGATGCCCGTAACCATAACAATAAAAATGCACTTTTGATGAAACTGCTATGTTCAATATCGTGATATTTTGATTTAGTGCTCGAGAGCTTTACTAGCCGTTTGTCATAGAGTGAATTTTAAACTCAATTGCCACTTATGTTGTAAAAAACCCAGTATGCGCTACAAAATAGAAACAAAACAAAGTATAAATCGCACTACGCAAGTTTCTGAACCACTCCACTAATTATATACACCTAACTCTATACCACCACACGGGCTCAACTTTCCTCGGTGGAAGATCTCCCTTTTCCTATATACAGCAAATCTGCTGACCCCAACTTTATTTTAAGACGCAGTTTGTAATCTTTGGAAACTACGACTTCAAGCTTCTCTTCATCCTCAAGAACCTTCCCTTCACTTCCAAGCAAATATCATCTTTTGCAGCCTTCAGCTCCTGCAACTATTCCAACTTATCTTCATCTGAACTCATATTGACAACTTAAACTCTTTGCACTTGCTCCGGCACATCATTGGCATTTGGCACCAGCATAATATTCGTATCGTTCGTATTTTGATTATTGTCGATTTATTTTGATATCCTCCATTAATTATTTTTATATATGTTATGGAGAATGTGAAAATAGCAATAAATTCCAAACCTTTAGTTTACACGATACACTTTATACATTTAGAAAAAGGATACTTGGTTGTGTGCGTCTCTATGCCTTTTCTATTCTATCCTAGCCGAGGTGTAAATATTAAAATGAAATAAACAGAAATATTTTTCATTAGATAACTACATTCGACATCTTGTTAAGTGTAGAGTTCAGTTATGAATGTCACGCGTAAGACACGTTAAAGTTAAGGTAATGACATTAATTTTATTTTATCGCGGTCTAGTTTCATGCAAAGTGAGTGTAGAAATTAGAGCAGACCTTGACATTTTTGCATTCGTTTTGTTTTTATTTCATTAATAATTTTACGTTTATTGTAAAGGTATAATCAGAAAATAATTATTTATGATATTTTTAAATATAACCAATTATCCGTTAGCAGGGCGCAGTAGCTATACGACACTGCGGGAAGTGGATTTGATTCTCACTCAATACAAGTATTTTTGTTGTTTGCATAAAATTATGCCGGGTCTGTGTCACCTTACGACAACTTTGCAGTACCCATAGTGGCCCTGTGACTATTGATTACATAACGACAACGTACATGCATTTTAAGCCTTAATATATTATACACATTGTTACCCGTGAGGACTAAGATCTATGCTTCATACCTTGTCCGAACCGTCTTCATACCGTCTCTGATTTTCATCATATAAAACAGCTAAAAGGCAGCCACTATTTTATACTTAGTAGACTTACATGTTAGAGCCATGCTGCCGCTATATACAGTAGTATAGTTGTAACACGATCGGGTCGGCTCGACCGGGGAAGGACCACGCTCTCACAGAATACCAACGTAAAATAGTAGCTTAATGCTGCTGTGTTTGGTATGGTGAATGTAGAGAACCTGAGACCCTTTTTACTGGAGACGAGGCATTCCATCTTAGTCCTCATGGGTGACAACGCATCTGCATTTTGTTCGTAATCGAGGATAGATGGTAGATATCAGGTGGACTGTGTGCTCGTATGTTACCCAATACTATATAAAAAAAGCTTAAATTTGGTGGAAGCATACTCCTTTGTACATAGAAGCCGTAGAGCTCTTACCGTAGTAATGAAATAGGTGGAGCGTGACTACACCACGTTAAAATTACAAATAAAATATATAAGATAACATGTATGTTCTCTTTTCAATAGTAAACAAACTAGAGATACAAATAAATTATAGACAGTTCAGCAAAGTGTGCAATAAAATTGGAGGCGTCCGACATAAAACTTTGCGGCTTTTATTTACTACCAGGTGTTGTTCGCCTGACCAGTTTATGCCTTTTCTTAGTGTAATGTACCTATTGTATGTCGATATCTTATTGTTAGTTTTTTATAATATATAATATATTAACAAACAACAAATGCGTTAACATGTGTAACGGTAAATGTTTACTGCAGCACAAAGACATAAGGAAGCAGATTCCAATAAAAAAGGTCACAAAAGCGTTTTGCTTGTAATTATAATGACTTTTTTCAGCTTTCCACTGAAACACAGTAGCTGAACTAATTCTTCGCAACTTAAATAGGTAAAAAGATGGTATTACCCTAGATTTAAAGTGTTCACTGAGTAATATACACGTAGTAGCAAAGTATATAGATAGCAAAGTAAGTTTACAACCCACGGTTGCGCACAGGCTTCATCATACAATACAATACACTTTTTTTGAACACTAAAAAAACAATAACATAACAAGAAACAAACAATGAGAAAACAAAAGACGGTCTTATTGCTATGCAGCAATTTCTTCCAGACAACCTAAATAGGAAATAAAAAAAATACGTGTGGCACTCGGTGACTGCCGCGGTAAAGCTATTGCATAGCATTTTTTATCAACTTATGCAATTATAATTATTTATTTATTTTATTTATGCAGTTAAAAAAAAAAAAAAGTCTTTGATATTAAATCAAGTTACACTTTTTGAGCGTGGTGACCGATAAGAAAACATTTTTTTTTCTTATTGAATAAATGAGAAGTTAATATTGTTTAAAATATTTTAATATCTTACAATACATGTAGGTTATTCAAGAATTTTTATCATTGATTTAGCAGCTAGTGTACACGCATACGTCTAGTCGCACGCACACAAACACCGTGCCGCAGTCTGCCGAGGGCCGAAGTCTGCCGAACTGAAACGACGTTAGACGATGCACGGCTTTCAACGCCACACCTCCGTGCCCGTCGGAGTGGGGAGCGTGAGGTTTTTTTCATTACGGAATTTCTGGATTCGGTCCCCGCGCTCAAGGCCCGCGATAGAAGCTATGCAATAGCTTAAAAATAAGTGAAAAGTTAATTAATAACTAAGTTCATATTTTAGGAGGGGAGGGTTAGATATACTATCTCGGCTTTACACTGAAAATAAAATATCCAGAATGATGATAAAAAGGTAAGACTACGGCAAATATTGCGGTCATTACGCAACAAATCACCATTACAACCCTTCGCAAATCTTCAGCTGAACGTAGATCTCCTTAAGTAATGCCACAGGACCCGAAAGTAGTCAGATGCTCCGATTACTATGCTTCACATTCATAAACTTCTACATATAAATAATTATCATTTTTATTGAACTTATATAAAATAGTACATCATTATCATGAAATCTTAAAAGTATTTGCATAATCATTATCATGATCATCATCACAGCCCTTCACAACTCCTCTGCTAACAGAGAACTTCCCCTGTACTGCGAAAAATCATAGTCCCGAGCAACCAGCATCGATATTGACTTCCTGCATGTTTTAACATGTTGTACAATGTAAAAAAGCGGTATTACCCTAGATTTGAAGTGTTCAGCGGGTAATATATTCGTAGAAGCAAAGTATATAGATAGTAAAGTAAATTACAACCCGCTGTTGCGCACAGACTAGCTCATATTTTAGGAGCCTGTATTCACTTTGATTAGTGCGAGTGCAGGTGATTAGTAATTGCGGGTGATTAGTGCAGGTGTGTAGCGTATGTAGTGTCCAATTCCGTTTAGTGGATGTGTTTAGTAAATTCAGTTGTTA